TTCAGCAGGTACCCTGTTAGACGTAAACTTTTGAGATTGAGCTCCTTGATAGCCCTCTGTACCATTCTTTTGGCTAAACATCAAATGTCAATTTTGTATCAGAATTTATTTCTGTGTGAAAACTTCCTTTTTAGCTTTTGGACTTAAGTTTGAAGAAGTCTGTATTCAGATCTTATACACGTTGGTTGCTTAGTTGTGCTATTTAAAAATCTCTCTGTGGCTGCCTCATGAACTTTTTTTGGTGAAAGGTGGATCATCTTCTTTCCCCCCTTGCTTTGACATTTACTCTTCATATTGATGCCCATATTTTCTGCAGGGTATCCCAGGTGAGGTTCACTTTAAATTGTTACTTACAGAATTGTGGAATATTTTAGCTCCCTATTTCCTTTATAAAGCATTTTTTTTTTTCTTTTTCAGATAAAAGAAGAAGTTAAAGGTGTCCTGGAGTTCATTGATTATGCTTACACCGTGTTTGGGTTTACTGATGACCTAAAACCATCTATGGTATGGTAAGCTCTATTGACTTAAATTTTTAGGGCTTGGAAGTAGTTTTTTCTGTGATAACTAAGTGCGTTTTGTTAGCTGATCTCTAAGTATAATGAATGGAGTTTAAGATGTTGACAAGATTGTTTTCTGTCTATATCTTGAGATGTGATGCACTTAAAACCACTTATGGTTTCTTGAAATTTTAATTGTCTTTTTTTTTTCATCATTAGATGTATTTTTTATTTGTTGGTAAAAATGGTTTCGCTATAGATACCTAATATATCTACTTGCATGATAATTATATTCTTCATGTTATATTAGATGGACTTGAAGACTCATGATTTATGTTTGTACTCATGCTTGGATTGTATTCTGGAATGACAATTTTTGTTTTGTGTTACAGATATTTGAATGTAGAGGCCAGAGAAATACCTTGGAGATTTGGAAACTTGGGAGAGAGCTGAAGCTGCTCTTACAGAAGACTTGAACCTGTCTGGGAAGCCATGGCAGGCCAGTTTTCTAGTTAACAACCTACCGTTAACATTTGGGGTTCTTGACAACAGAGATTGTTTCAAAATTAATTCTATGGATAACAAATGAGAAAATTTTGCTTCAGCTTACAACCACCCTAAAGCATCCAGCCTTTGTATTGGTACTTCTGAATTTGGTATAAATATAGCAATATAAAGGCACGTAAAAGCACATAGAACTTTGACAAGGTTTTGGCCTCAATGAGTTATTGCTAAGTCAAATATTAGTTCAAACTTAAGATTAAATAGGATTTGAAAATTTGACTAGCTACTTTGCTTGAATGTTTGTGTGCCAGAAAAGCAGTGAGTACAACAAGTGAATTTGATTCGTCACTCGAAATCTCTTTTCTTGTATTTGTCACCTTTATGAGCAAAGTTGGTGTTATATGTTTGAAGAATGTGTTTTCAACTTATTTTTCTAAATGAGAAGTCGATTTAAATATTGTAACTATAAAATTTTGTGTTTTGAAGGTTCAAACTGCTTTTATTGAGGTATACTTATTTGTCTAATTAAACAGTGGATTTCTCTATTGCCAAGAAAAGTAGGGAAAATCTTGCATAGTTGGCTTGCATGTTGTGATCTATATATGTTGTGCTTTATTTTCTCTATTTTATATTGAGGACTATTCTATGTTGCCATCCATTTTGGGAGGCTTCTTTCTAGATGCTTATGGGCAAGAGTCATGTTGGTACAGATAAATGAAGGAGATGGGGCTTTTTATGGTCCAAAGATAGATATCAGTGTATCCGATGTATTGAATAGGAAATTTCAATGTGTAACATTGCAGGTTTGTGATGTTCAATTGTGCTTCATTTTATCCTGTCTCTAATCTCTAATTTGTTGTGTTCTATGATAATTATCACTTAGTAGCTGATGCCCTTTATTGCAGCTTGATTTCCATTTTCCTGAGCGCTTCAAGTGGGAGTACTTAGCAGAGGATGAAGCCAAGGGGGAGAGATCCTACAAGGGCACATGGCCCTTCTGGCTTAGTCCCAGTCAGGCAATTGTTTGCCCTGTGTCAGAAAAGTCCCAAAAATATGCTATAGAGGTAGTCTGCTCTAGCAGGATACTAATTAGCTTGTTTTTTTACCTCAATTATGTCTTATTTTTTTCTTTTTTTCGCCGCCAACCTTGTGGATTTTATGTTGCATCAACATATAATCATTGTATATGATATCTGGAATTCTTTATTTTCCTCTGTATTCTGGCATGATTTTCCCCCATGTTGGACCAGAATTTTAGTTCTTGTGCGGCTGCATGCTGCTTTTGCTTGACACTGTAAAACTAAACTTGGTATAATATATCCTTTATTTCCCTCATTTCACTATCTCAAATCATGACCATGTAATTCTTCTGTTGCTTTGATGTGTTTGTTGTCAGCCATGAAGTGTCTTTATATCTAATCTCCTGCATCAGTTTTCTGTTATTTTCTTATTTTTTATGTTTTAACTTTATTTATTTCAGGATGCATGAGGCATTATTTATTTGTTGTTTTGAAGTGTTCATATGAACTTACCAAAATAGATAGTTTATTACATGCTTGAGGAAGATTTCTGAGAACAGAGTTCTAGGCCATAGATGTGGTTGGAAACTATTGAAACAGGGCCTTAACAATTTTTTATCTTACCTAGGATATGGTTACTAAGTAGTAGAGCACCATGGCTCAACAGGATCCATTTAGTTTATTGTTGGTGAGTTACTTATTTGTTATGCTTCGGTCCATTTGAAGGCCAAAAATGGTAGTCACTTAGAACTCCAATATGCCAATATTATCTTTTATTTCATTTTCATAGGTTCAGGATTGGGTTCATGAGGCTGGTTATTATGTAGATGTTGATACGACAGGTCGAAAGATTCAGAAAAAAGGTGCGACCACTACATCCTCAATTGTATAAAATTCTCTTTTTCTTAAGAGTCTTGTAATATGCTTTCTCTCTTCCTACATACAGTTATGGACTTAGAATGAACCAACAATACTAAATTATCATTCTGCATTTCTGGCTGTCAACCTCCAACCAGCTTGCTCTGCAGTTTCTAGATGAATTGATTTCTTTTTCTTTTTGGGAACTTACTGACTGTTTTCACTTGTTTTCCCTTTCACATCGCAGGTACTAGAAGCTCACTTTGCAAAATACAAGTAAATATTAGTTGTTGGGGAAAAGGAATTGGAGGCTAAGCAGGTTTGCCTATACATAGTTTTTTCTGAATAGATTTCTGTACCTTTTTGCAAATGCAAATTTAGTTTTCTTTCTTCATTGCAGATGGTCATTCGACCTATGGTTGCTTAAAAAGTAAATAATGTTTTTTCAGGTGAGTGTACGGTTGAGGGATATGACAGATCTCTCGTTCCAATGAGCACAGAAGACCTACTCGAACGCTTGGAGGCTAAAACTGCAGCTTTTCATTAGGATGGACATTTGGTTCTATCATCTCATTAAGGAAAATCAATGGTGACATTGGTTTCCCTGATCAATATACCTCTCTTGTAATTTATTTTCATAAATAAATAAATCTTTTTAATGTTACCACATAGTGACAAATTGTTTTTGATTCCTTGGAAGTTGAAGGGATATTAGATTATCCAACTTTCTTCTATTTCTATCTGCCCAGTGAGTTTTATTTATGATAAAGTTATTGCTAGTTTTTTTTTTTGATGAAATTATTTGTTTTTTCAAATGCTAAAAATAATTTTAGAGTTGACATATAGAAAAAGAAAAAGCATGGGCAGCTAAGCATCTCTTTACTCTGCGTGTGTTTAGCTTATGTTAACCCATTTATGATGAAGTACGATATCTTTATTTTTATTTTAGATATATATATTTTTGATGAATATATGTTTATTTATTTTTATTTATATTTTACACTTGTGCTGCGATTAACCCAAACCGCCACCTGTGCTACTTTAGGCATTCTTGTAGGAGAAATTTAAATATCCTCTTTTACTTAAGCCATTATCGTCTTTTTCCTTTCTTTTTTTCTCTTGTTTTAATTAACATTGTTGTTTTACTTTACCCTTCCTAATTCAAAATTTTATATCAATGCGTGGTTTTAATGTAACTAAATAAAAAATTTTCCATTAAATTAGACTTTGATTTGATTTTGCAACTTTTATTTTTGGTTTTGAAAGCAAAAAATGCATTTAAAATAAATTCAAATATTTTTCCTAGAATTAGAATTTATTTAGCAAAATGCAATTTAGCTTTGTTTTTGATTGTATCTTTTTATAGCATAAACTTGAAGAATTAAAAACAGAAGAAAATGAATGAAAGTAGCAATTATTATATAGCAATTAAGGAGCCGTAATTATTTCTACCAAATCAACATATGACTCTTCTGGGTCATTCTGAATATTTTCGAAACAATTAGACTTAAATAATAAACCCTACTTTTATGTTGATTTCTTAACTGACTCCTTGCGTGCGTGTGCATATCTATCTATATATATATATATATATATCATCAGGAAAATGAACATTTTACTATCATTTTCTATTTTTTTATAACACCATTAGGAGTATCCCAAAATTTAATGTTATTCCCGTAACATTTGTACGATGAATTTAAGATTTTACTCATAAAATACTCTTTACAACGTATCAAACACGATTGATAAAAAAAAAAAAAAAGAACTCTTCTGACTCCTTACCAACCATCGTGGGTTTATTACTTTCGTGTGATATAATTTCCAAAAGCTATCTTATGCACGTATATAGCAATTAACATTTTGGAAGAATTGCTGCGAATATGATTCTATAACGCAAGCAATTAGCCGTGGTCACCAGTCTCCTACGGCTACCATTCTTCTGATCACAGTCACAGCTGCGTGGCTAGAAGTAGTGCTTACTGCCGTACATGTGCTGCAAAGTAAACAGTAGATATAAATATGCACCATATATGCATACGGTTTCTGTGAATCCTCTCAAGAATCATATACTAACATGGGAGTTCATATATATATATATATATATATGAAGGGCTGAAAGATGAAGATTCATTATAGATTAATGATTGATAGTATATACTATCTAGGAATCTAGGGCTAATTAAAGACATCTTCAATAGCTAAAGAGGCTGCTAAATAAAAGCTTATACTGTAGTAGAAATTAACACCCCAATGATACAAAGCGAAAAGGATCGCTAACTGGAACGCTAGAGAAATCAATAAGCTGATCTCTGCATAATCTACTTATGGGACTAGGCGTATATGTGATACTCCATGTATCATTCGTATATCAAAATCCATTGTTAGGCCTGCCGCTTCTTACATTCAGATCTTGGTGGTGATGGAAATACTGTTGACGACGATATGCAGAAATGGAGCTGCTACTTTCACCCATATCCTGCTCAGGCCTGTACTCTTCATCAATTTCTTCTTTTGCCACTTTCTCCATTCCAATGTATTCTACAGGTCTTTGTGATGATAAGAACGGTGACTGTGACAGTGGCTGTGACTCGCAATACCCGGAAGCTTGAGGTGGCACCACTGATGGGAGCTTGGAGAGAAGGGCTTCAAGGCTGCTCATGGAAGGAGTTATTTTCATTGGCTGATTGAAGTGGTCATAGAATTCAGCAAGTGGTGCAAGTGTCCCAGCAGGGAAGTGCCATGCTTCTGGTGTGCCATACCCATCTTCTTTAAAAGGGTATGGAGAAGATGATGGGTGGGGCAATAGTACTCCGGGAATGCTTGCTATGTAGCTGAATTTCTTTCGTAGTAGAACTACATAATTCAGGTCTTCAATTACCTTGAGTAACATAACGAGAAATAAAATGGAGATAAACAGTACTGTCAGTGAAACATGATAGCAAAGGAAGTTGTGTGTGAGCTTAGAGAGAGAGAGAGAGAGAGAGAGAGAGAGAGAGAGAGAGAGAGTACCTTGTGAACAGCTCCTAATTGGACGACACCTTCTCTAACTGCAATCAACGCTATGGTCTGCAAAGATATACAAGTCCAAGCAAGTAAGTAGATCTACCTAAACTCTTCGGAGTTTTATAATGTTTATGATCCTATACCTTTACACCGGCCTGGAACTGTGCTTCCCATGTCCTAGGATGCTGCGGGAAAAGATTTAGTGAGAAGTATACATATTTTTCTGCTAAAAAGTGAAAGGTGAAATTAACGGTGTAAGCATGGATGAGAAAACACATATAATATGCTTACTGAGTCTGCAGAGTTATGCCATGCTGACAAGAAGTTGATTTCCTGGTCATTTGGTTCTTTGTATATCGACTTGTGACTGTGATCTGCAGCCACTTTTCCTATCAAACTGCCCATGTAAAGAAAATCATTTTGCTTGAAATATTATCTACAGTTAGTTGAAATAACTTACAAAACTTGCAATGGCAAAATGATAAGAGGCACATCAATTTCTCACCCTTCTCCATAGTTGTAGATTTCGTGGGACATCTTAAAGAAAAGCTCTGGTTGCAGTCCTTGATAGTGTTGAAACTCACAACTGCCATACACTGAGGACCCAGGACAGTCTCCGGAGTTGATTTCAGCTGCTGAGGCAGCAAAGTTGCAGAAACCATCTTCCCAAACCAATATCCTGCAATTTTTTTTTTATTATGAAGTGTGTTACCAAATTACGGATCAAAATATGAATGGCATATTGTCCTCCATTCTATATATATCTATATATATATATGTGTGCATATATATATAAACTGAAAACTATACCAGTTCCTCCTGTTTCCTCTTGACCTGTCATAACCTCCTTGACCATCCCATCTATCATCAAAGTAATTAAAAACAATTATATAACAAAAAGGATGTTAGAATTATAAATTAGTGAGAGATTATGACATTTGTCTAAATTCTGTATCTGCGAAATGAGTCAGACATATTAGATCTTTTATCTTGGAAGAAAAGGAAACCTACTACAGTAGTAACAAGAAAGAAAAGGAAACCTATATTGTTTTGTAGTTGGCTTTAAGCTTCCTTACTTGGGAGGTGGATAATTTCTAGGTAAGATCCTCCAAAAGACTGCATAAACCCACTGAGAGTTCTCATGAATGCACAAGCTTCTTAGTGTGTGTTGAAGGAGATGAGTAACAGCTAATGGGCTGAGATGTTCCTCCATCAATTTTCTCTAGTGTTTTTATAAACCCTCTCTTAATTTCCTTTTTTTTTTTTCCCTCTACTGTTATCTTTCCTTAAAAAAAGGAAGAACCCAACATCTTAACCTCCTTTATATAAGCCAACCAACATGGAAATGTCAAATTTATACCTCTCTGTCCCCATCTCTCTCTCTCTCTGTTACTTTATTGTATTTAATCATGCTTTACATTTTAACAATATGATTTTATGAGGGCCCACGCTTTTGCCTTCTCGGTTCCCAACGGTCTCTTTATCAATCATCCCTTTCAAAACTGCTATCGAAAATTTTCAAAGTAGAATTACTGAATTTTTTTTTATTTAAAATGATTTAATAAAAATATCAAAAAGAAAACCAAACCTTATTTTTCTTAGGCTACTTCATGAGTTTGCTCCATTCCTTAGAGGACCCGTATATTTCTCTTCAACCCCAACTAGTAAAAAGTGCCCGGCTATGCCCGGGTTAAAATTTTTTATTTTTAAAATATAAATCATTTAATTTTTTTTAATAGCAAGTATATGTATCTAGTTGATTTTATGATTTGAATTCAAAAATTTTCAATAAATTGTAATAATTAATTAATAATATTTTTTATAATTTTAATTTTTTATTAATTATTTGAAGTCAATATTTATTTAATAAAATTTTTTTTATATATTTTTAATTATTTGAAAATAACTATATTCTATTCTTATTATTATCGCATGAGGTATTTAACTTATTCAATTAATAATTTTATTTTATTATTTTATTTTTCTTTAATTAATAATTTTCAAGTAGTTTTATAAATTTAATTATACCCTTAAATAAAAATTAATAGACATAAAAGAATATTAGGGCATAATTGATTAATTTTTCTTTATAAAATTTAAATTTAAATCCTTAAGCTATCAATGGGTAAACAATAACTCAATCTTCAAATATATTTGACTTTAAGTCAAATCTACGTTAATATGAGTTGATTCGTTCTTCTTAAATACCAAAACTATGTGTTTTGGAGCCAATCTAAAATTCCTTAAACCTACCCAAAATTTCTCTTTAACTTTCATTTTCCTATTAATTTTTGAATGAAAATTTGAATTTCTATTTTTTGAGTTATATTTTAATATATTTTGCTAATATTTTTCTGGTTTAAAGTGTAAAAATTAGGTTTTTATTTTTATTTTTATTAGAGATTATTTATTTGCATTTAAATTATAATAGTTATTTTATATAATTGATTGTGTGATGAGTTTTGTCTCAAGGATAAAATAATAATTTTATTTAATGGACGACTGTCAAAGTGGGAACCGTCATGGATTTTTTTTCATATATAGATACAGATGTGTAATTTCATTTCTCATTTTCTGACACAACAAGGTATTACCACTCATTTCAGTCCCAGAAAAACTTTTATATTTCCACCTTCATTCACTGTCAATATCAAGCTGCTACTCCATTGATTTTTTACCACAGCATTTTAATTGTTCATGTACCTTGCTTCTCTCTCTTTCCCTCCATTCTTTATCACCATCATTTTGGTGCATCCAAGTGTCCGTCTATATGGGGCATTGCCAACGACCAAAAATTATCACACTTTATTACTTTCCTACTACAAATATTAATGCAAGATTAAAAATTTTGCAATTTGGATGATGTTTATGTATTTCTTATTTACCATGTAATGTATTCTTAACTTTTATGGTTTCAGATTAATGACTGAAAAGAGAGGTAGTGTCATGATCAAGGAGTGTGAGATCATTATTATTGATGCGCTTTGTGCGATGGGGATCTATATTTTAGAAGAGAAAAGTAAAATTTGGCTGCCACTCTCAATCCTTTGTAACGCATAAATATAATTAGAATACGCATGTTGAGATCAGATGATACATTCATATTGCTGCATGCCTCCATGACTTCACAAATGTATGCCATTGTCTGCCACATTCTTGTAACATCAAAGTATGTACAGATTGTAAGCCTGAAAAACAAAGGACCCCACCCATGGAATTGCTAGAGCACAAAACTACATGATTCTATTGATTTCTTGACAGATTCAATATGTGGGCTGTTTGACTAGCTTTAGATGGAGACATTTTGTTGTAATTTTGATCGATGGATCACCTGCGAGCTACCACTGAAAGGGTTTAGCGGTAAATTAGTGTTAGGAATAAAGAAAGCAAATCAGGGTTTAAATGTCGAGTTGCAGACGTAAACATGGTAACTGATCGCCCGGGCTGCCTTACAAACAGTTTTGTACACTTGACATACACGGACATTGATGCAAAGATGTATGAGACCCAGTGTACTTTCAAGTAGTAGATTTAATCCTCAGGTAGAAAAGATTTCATTAGTTTGGGATCTCTATTTCTCTCTCTCTTTCTCGTCTGCATTGCAGTTTCATGATGACTAAAAGGAGCTTTCAGTGCTTTTCAATTCACCTTCCTGACACCAAGAAAGTTTTGACTGACAATTATACTCTTGTCTTTGACCGTCTGTTTATGAGAAAATGAGATCATTAGCCTTGTAATCAGCCATAAATCACCATATTATCATCAACCAGCTAGCATTTGTCCCCCTTCATTTCTTGATAGTGACAGGCATGCCTATCTTCTTATATATATAATCCCAATGGGTTTGCCCTTGGGCTCCTTAAAGGCAAAACTGTAGATGGATTTAAAAATAGGTTCTGTTAGTGTTGTTTAAAGTTGTGCATTGCGTAAATGTACGGTGCCTTTGCAAGGTAAAAACAGCAGAGCGGGGGACAGTCTCTGATGACTTGATGTCAGCAAAAGCGAAATGCCTGCCGAGGCTCCCTAGTGAAACTAGCTTTGGATTTTACTGATGAGGGGTGATTGTTCTAGTGGCCATATTATCTTGCTTCTTCCTCTGTATACTACTAGTATATCATATGATAATTAATATGATTTTTTTTATATTGCTGTGTGGAATAGAATTGGGAGAAGCTAGTATGGGGGAAAAGAGTGGCACAAGAGTCTTGGTCAAGATAACAGGTGTTGAAATGCCCCATCCCTTTCTTCCATTGAGGAAGTGGAATCTCTGCTCTTCCCATCCTTCCCAATGTCCCACTTGGTATTAAAAAAGTATTTCCAATCTAATAAAGAACCAAAACAATTAATAAATAAAGACTGAAAGAGTGTTTATATAACTATATATAATATATATATATATATATAGATGTTTGTCTGATGAAGATTGATTATCAGACAGTGGAACACAATCCAATAATGCATACTTCAAAGCAGGCAAATATCCCTATCCTCCCACAATTCTTGCCTTGTTGTTTATGAAACGAAGTTGGTATAGGATTAAAGAATTGAAAAGAAAATTCTAATTAATTTGATATTGATTTGGAATATTTGATGGTGTATTATATAATAGATTACAGGTAGCGCTAGATTTCCTTTTCCTTGCTTTTGAAATAGAGATACAAAAATATAACTCGGGTACTTGGGTTTTTGTTAGAAAGGGGTTAGATATTTGATATCGATGATGTCCAAAGATCTAAATTTCAGTGTTTCTTGAAGTGATGAAATATCTTTTCATCTAAACAAAACACTTTGTTTTCTATCTTTGTTGATTGATATAATACTATTTTTACCATACAAAAAATGCAATCCACATTTCCCGACATGGGTTTTTTGTCCAAAAACTGGAGAACCTGCTAGCTCTTCCCAGTCACTTGTGTATAATGCATGCATCTTCATGCATGCCATTCTCATGTGCCCACAGGTTATGGCATGTTGTCCCAAGAAATGTGGCATTTTCCCTTCCCCCAATAAAACCATATTATTACCCCAATAATGCAATTTCACAAATTTTAGATTAATAGGCAATTAATTAAGGGACACATTTTATTTTTTATAAAGGAGATATAGGATAAGAAAAAGTTACTGATGTTGAGATTTGAACATCAAAATTATTGGATGCTATCTTTTATTGATAAATTTAGGTTCAATGAAATGTGTATGCTTTCTTTAATAACATCCCCATGCACCCCACCCAAAGCAAGTGCTGAGTGCCAAACCTCTTTATTGGTTTCATAGCTTTTTCACATTGTGAAAAATGTGCTTTAAACGTAATTAGTGCTTTGATGTTTGGTTACCAGAAGTACAACTTCCTGAGGTCATCTCTGCCTTTATCATAACAACCAGTATTAGTGGAAACAACAAATTTGAAGCAGCTGTATGCCATGACATTTACTTCTTTTTTCTTTTTTTTTTTTTATCAGGGATCTAGCTACCCCTCACCATTTTTAAAGAGTTCGATAAGGAGAATAATGATTAAGATTTTCAATGTACAACTCAAAGTGTCCAACATATACACGTTTTACATGATTAGGGATACCCAAAAGCAAATGTGTTACAGGACGTGAAAATTCTAAAGAAAGAGAGTAGTGTCCCTGGAAATGAAGGACTGGAAGGGTAAAGGGGAAAATATTTAGAGATTTCTAAAGAGGGAACTAAACCTGGTCAAATGTATCAAAACCACTGGGGATTCTAGCTTTCCAACCCGGAGAAAAACTCCAAGACATCACGTGAAGCATCGTGGTCACTATCTAGGACCTAGAAAAGTTAGTGTACTCACCCAAAAAACCAAAGAAAAAGAGGAAAATAAATTAACGAGTGGAGACTGAAAGAAAGACGGTCCTTTTTAGGCACTTTCTCTAACCTTTTCGTGAATGTAAAACTAGGCTTTCTTTCAAAAAAGAGAAAAAAGAAGGAAAAAAAAAAGAAGAGAAAACTTATGTAACCCTTGACTTCCTGCCCACACCCAACTTTTCCTTATCGTCAATGTAGGAAAAAGGCCACCTTATGCAATCCTGTGCCACAAGAACCAGCATAGCTTATACGCTCCCATCATAACATTAGGAAGCTGCCTTTTCAATCCATGCCATACAATAGAAGCAAAGCCAATGGACAATTTATACAGGTTTGATCAATTAATATGTATTCCAACCTCAAAGTTGGGAGAAAAATTTCCATTTTTTCCTTCTTTCTTTATGTTGATGAAATGGAAAGTGATTGATCGACTTTTAAGATCACCAACATGAGTAGTTAATCTATTGGACGATCCAGATAATGGTCCTCCTACCCT